TGGAAGGTACTGGCCCAAAGTACTTTTGTTCTTAACTGTTTTAATGCAACTCACTGAATAAAAGGTACTGCGACTTTTACTGTATGCCACGAAATGTGCATCCCAGTCAATCTTAGAACATTTTCATCCCCCAAATAGGAAGCTCCGTACCCATAAGCAGTCATTCCCATCTTCCCCATCCTCCTCCAGCCCCAGGCAGCCACTCTTCTCTCTCTCTGGATTTGCCTGTGCTGGAGATTTCATGTAAATCCAGTCACTTCATGTAAATGGAACCGTCTATTGTGACTGACTTCTTTCACACTGAGTAACGTTTTCAATGTTTGTCCACATTTGTCCACATTGTGGCCTGTCTCAATACTCCTTGTTTCGGTATTGCTGAATAATATTCCACTGTATGGCTGGGTCCCTCTGTTTACCCATTTATCACGTGATAGACACTTGGGTTGTTTCTGCTTTTTGGCTGTGATGAATAATCGTGTCATAAACATTCCTGTAGGAGTTTTTATGGGGACATTTGCTTTCAGTTTTCTTACGTGTGTCCCCAGGAAGCAGAATTGCTGGGTCATTCAGAAACCAAATATTCAACTCTCTGAGGACCTGCCAGGTTGTTTTCCAAAGTGGCCACACTATATTACATCCCCACCAGCAACAGCTGTGAGCTCTGCTTCCTCTGTGTCCTCATTAGTGCTTGTTACTCTTTTTTTGATTATAACCTATTGTAGTGAGTGTGAAGCGGTTTCTCCTAGTGGTTTTGACTTGGTTTCCTTTACAGCTAATGATATTGAACATCTTTTCATTGTGCCTATTGGACATTTCTACATTTTCCTTTAAAAATATCTTTTCAGATACTTTATTCATTTTTTAATTGAGTTGCCTTTTTATTGTTGAGTTGTTGGAGCTTTTTTTATCTTGGAAACACAAATTCCTTATCAGATAAATGATTTGAAAAAATGTTCTCCTGTCTGTTGTTTTTTCACTTTCTGGATGGTGTCCTTTGAAGCAAAGTTTTAAATTTTGATGAACTCCAGTTTATCTCTGTTTTCTTTGTTTCTTGTGCTTTTGGGGTCATATTTAAGATACGAGCTATTTTATTTAAACTTTTATATATAAAATAACTCAATTCTTAGGACGGTTCTAGGGATGGGTGCTGTTGTTTTCCCGAGTCTATGGATGAGGAGACTGAGATGCAGAAAATTTTTCTGAATATCAGTGTCACAGCTACCCAGTGGTGCTGTGGGATTTCAGACCCTCTTGTTTGTCCCCAGCATGTGTGCTCTTCACCACCATGCTCTACTCCTTCCTGGAATCATTAATGAAAGTCTTTCCATCTTTGATTTCTTCTTAGTTTTTTTCTCATTGGGGACCTCATCTTCTCATTTTCACTGCAGAGCTCAGTGTAGGTTTATTTTAGGTCTCATGCAGGCAGAAGCATCACTATCAGTTAACTTTTATACTACTCACTCTGCAGTGATGGCTGTTGCTAATTGATCTAATCAAGTCATGCTTAAGTCTTTCCTGCTCATGACACTAAAAACAGAGTCATGACTTACAGAATGCTCAAAGAAGAAAGTACTTGATTGATTTTATTTTGCTAACCAATCAAATAAATACCTCAGTGTTGACATAGATTATTTGCCAGAATAGGGTCATTGTCTTCCTTGTGTTTCATTTGTTTGGTCACAGTGTCTGCATAGTGCCTTGCTGTCCAGCCGCTTTGTTAGGATAAGGTGCTCGTGAATCATTGTAAGGACAGAATATTGACAACAGACTGTGTTGTTCATTTCACAAGGGAAAAGATAATATAAAAATAATGCTCTGATCTATTTTAAAATTAAGCTTGGAAATTTGAGCAGAGTCTGAGAAACCATACAAAGATATTTTTCACTAATTATAGATCTATCTTTGACACATTATGGTTACATAGCAGACTAACTTATCAACTAGATTTGACAAGAAGGGTGTATTATTGATTATTTGTTTTAGTTGAAATATTCTACCTGGGATAAAGTAATCAGTGCCCATAAATGAGCAAATGTAACTTTGTATTTCTATGCAACATGGGAGCAGACTTCATACATTTATATACAATATATATGGGTGTTGTTTTAAACTGTCTGTCAGTGTTTTTATAGTTTTTCAGCAATGCTCTACCTTTAGAATTCTTCTAAGAAAATCACCCCCGTCTCTAGTGCAGTTTGTACTCTGTATCATGTCTTATGCATGGAATCCCATTGTCCCCTCAGTGAGAAATTTCTTCTCCTACTGAGGTAGTAGCAGAGATACAGAGACTGGGATTTCTAGGCCTTTTCTCTCCATATGTTTGAAGTTGTGTGTCAATCACGATTTTCCCTTTCTTAGATTTTCATTCTTCAATTTGAATTTTTGAAAATAACTATTAATATGTTGCAGCAGGCTCCCTAGGAACTTGATGTGTTTGTGCTTTCTAGTTTTTAAATTATGAAAAATGTAAATGCACTCTTGTTTTTAAGTAGTCATTTTTCAGTAGATATTTGTTTACCTCTTTATATTTAATTATTTTTCCCAATGAATGAATCAGTGTGCATGTTTTAAAAGATACATTACGTTTAATTTTTCTTATTGTAACAGTTATATTCATTGTAGAGAATTTAGAAAATAAGGATAAACACAGTAAATAAGTTAAAAATGGCCTGTAATCTCCTCACCTGGAGATACAGGTGTAAGTTTTGAAATTGAGAATTACAAGTCCTATCACGTTGTTCTACTTTTTCAAGATCACTTTGGTTACTGAGACCCTCGAATTCCCATAGATTTGTAGCAGCAGCTAGTCAGTTTCTGCAGAGGAGCCTGCTGGGATTGTGATCGAGACCATGTTGAATGCATGGATCACTCTGGGGAGCACTGCCATCCCAACAGCATTGTCTTCTGACCCAGGGATGTGCGTGGTGTGTCTGTCCAGGTATTTAGGTCTACTTGAATTTTTTTCAACAATGCTTTGAGTTTACAGAGTATTATTTTACTTTTTTTTTTTGCCTTTATACTGAGGACAAGTGTGTAAGGCACTGGGATAAGTAGTGTATTTGAGCCCCGCCACTTGCTGCCACCATGGATGCTGCGCTCTTGCTTCACACTCTGATCAATCTTGCACAAAATAGGACCTCAGTAACTCTCTCTTGAATGAATCATTATATAATTGTTGGATGATGCTTGAGAGTTCTTATGATGATTTTTTTTCCCAGACTTTCCCCACTTCATAACTATGCCCTTTCCCTTCTTAAACTCCAGACTTTGTTTCAGCCTGCCTGTGGCATTGATTTTCCCTGTCGGTAGACTCTTCCTTTCACTGGTTCACGATAGTGTTTCATGTAGGCTGTGGATACTTGCTAGATGTCAAGAAAGAGCAAATCCATTGCATGCTAGTATTTTTAGAGTGTGGTAATATTTTATCGATTGAAATTAAATCAGGCTGACACCTGAGCTCTCCCATGAGCTCTTTTCACCTTCCTACAGGTGATACTGCTCTGGTTGCTGCCTGTACCCTTCCTCCAGCCTTGGTTTTGGAGTTGAGTATGTCACCATCACTGGAGCCCTCTCTTTAAAAGATGAAGAGAACATTTGCTCCTTCTCCCAGTTAGGGGCTGGGATGAGATGAGGTACCAGATAAAAATGGAGCTCCACCTCATTCTGACCCCTGCTCTTTCCATTCCTTTAACCAGGGGAAAATAGTACAATACAACAGTATAAAGATTGACTATGAGCTAATGAGATAGACAAGACAACTGATTATTTATTAAATATCCTTTCATGCCAGAAACAAATGTATTATACACACAAAAAGCACATAAAGCATGGTAGTACTGTGGTTACAATCGTGGATCCGAGTTCAAGTCCTGCTCGGGAGTGACCAGTCCTGTGAGACGGAGAACTGGTAGGTAGGCTTAGCCTTTCCTGGACTTGTTTTCTGTCCTGCAGAGATGGGGCTCGCTTGGTGTCCCTCCCCCATAGAGGTGCTGTGGGGTGTAAACGACGTGCGTGGGCATCCCGAGCAAAGCTGCTCATTCCTCATAAGTGCAGGATAGCATAGCTTTTGCGATGATGGCTTTATGACAGCCCCGTGAAGACTCTCAGTACTCCAAAGGGATGCCTTGTGGTTTGGAGATGGGATTCTCACTTCTGTAAATACCCAAGTATTTTGTTATTGGGCCTTGCTGATTTGAAACTATTCTTTACAAAGTAAATATTGTTGATTTTTTTTTTCAAGCATGCATGATGTTTTCTTTTAATATTTATAGTTCTACCCTCTCATCTCTTGTGTGCTTTTTCATGGAATGTAGGAAACAATCCTAAGCCACCTGCCTCTTCACACTTCTCCGTGGTGGTTTTCCTCCCTGACTGGAAGAGGGTTTTGCATAGGAAATTTACTTTGTTTCCCTTTTCTTGGAGTCTCTCTGTCTGCCCATCTCTCACCTGTCCATCTGTCTATTTATCTACCCACTCATTCTTCTGACTTGTTCCAAGAAGCATTTCAGGCAGCTTACAGAATAACAGATACCAAATAAGCAGGTGAGAAAATGGAGCCAAGTTCAGACAGTGAGGCTAGGAGAGGAGCCTGAGTGAGGGTTGCAGGGTGAGACAAACGCGTCTGATCTGAGAATTATAAGACCAACAGCAACTGTGTCCCTGAGGCTCCCAGCAGACACAGGGAAACGGTTTGTGGGAGATGCTCACTGGTTGTGAAATAAATAAGTGGCTTAGGAGAAGCCCAGCCTTTCCAGCTACTAAGACTTAGGAGAATATTTTGAGTGTCTTCCAAAATCAGGGTATTTCATCGTTTCTTTTGTCACAGTTCTATGTGTAGTTGGTTACATTCTATACCTGGAAATTTCTCCAAAACTCCTTCTCATGTGAGTCTCATGGCTCGGGAATGGGGTGGTTCTGCTCATTGATGGGGGTTGCCCAGAAACAGAAAATGACAGCCTCAAAGGGGACTGGGGCTTTTCAGTCATGTTTTGTCAGTGCTGTTGACTTCAGAAAATGTTTTCACTGTTTCTCTCCATCTGAGGTGGCAGCGTGCTCTCTTACCAGCATCAGGAACTCAGGCCCACGGGATGGTGGGGGTGACTGCACTTCTGTCAAGACAGCTGAACTGGTCACTGCAGGTGTGGTGCTTTCACGTACTGCATTTCATGTTCTTTAATAGAAGGTTTCAATAGGAAGTTAATTAACTGAGTTAATTAACATTTAATAAATATGATGCTTTGTTGAAAAGACAGTTATAGGCACATTATAAGCTGTGAAGGATTTAAAAACAGTATCATTACTGAAATTTCAGTAGGGAAGATACACAGTTTATCTTATTTGTGCCTTTCTTTTAAAGTAAAAAGGAAACAAGACAGAATAGGCAAAAGATGCTTTCTGTTCTTCCTGTCTGTTTGCAGGCGCCCTCACCTCCAGTGGCATCAATCCAGACACCAGCACTGACACTGGCCGAGCTCAAAACTGCCTCAGCCCTGAAGACACAGCTGACAAATAGAAGGGGGCCATGCCCTGTTACAGCAGGTGCTCTCACTTTGTGGGTCCTTATGTAACTGTGCCGTGTTAATCAGGATCACCCATTCTACATTGTGTGATGCTGCTGCAGTGTCTCCTAGTTACTTGTTTCTGTAAGTACTCTTGTATTATTCTCCAATGTGTGGTACTACACATCTTAAAATGCTTTTTTCAATGAAAAATAGTGTGTATTTAATATAATAAGTCTGAAAAAATGGGCAAAAGAGGCTATTCTGGTCCCACTACTCAGAGATAATAATTAACAATTTAACATCTATTTTCTATTTTTTTCGTCAGTGTGTATCACCTCTGTCATAAAAACCAGAGAGCACTCTGTGCCTCTTTACTGTGTGGAGACCTCAATTTTCCATTCTGCTTATTACATGTTTTTCTTAAATATTCTATCTCCCCTGGCATGATTTATAATGACCAGTATATCATTCTGTCTTGTGGAGGCATTGTCCATTTTACTTCGGACTTAAATAAACTTTTAAATTCCAAGTATACTTAACTGAAATACTGAAAAGAGAACAGCGGTGGTACAGGAAGGCCCCTAACTCCCTTCCACTTATTTCCTGAGAGTAAAAGCTGTTGACAGTGTGGTGTATATATTTCATGACATTTATGCCTATGACATATATATATATACACACACACAAAGAAACACACACATGTATAAGAGAAATCTGTGTATATGTGTCTGTTTATACACTTTATTGAAAAATGAGACCATACTGTATGTATTTCTGCAGCTCGATTTATTCACTCAGGGGTGTATCATAGACGTCCTCCCACTCCAGACTTACCCAGTCCTTTCAGATAGAGTGGAGGGGTCTCCTGATGTGCAGGTGTGTTCTCTTGTGCAAGGATACATTTGGTGGGAGAGTGCTATGGACAAGGCCCTGGACCACGCTGAAAAGTCAGCTCCCTCAGGGCCTGAAGCTTGCTGTGATTTACTGCATCATTGTCCTGATAGAGGACACTTAGGTTTTCTCCATTTTCCACTGTCAGAAAGGATGTTTGACTGGCATCTTTTTGTACAGACATTCCTGTGATCTTGTATGAGTATTACTTTAGTTATGGCTTCTGGAAATTTAGTCCCTGGATGTGACATTTACATTCATCACAGGCTCCTTTCAAGTGACTCTGGAAATTCCTTCCTCAGTGTGGATGAAAAGATGTAGAATTACTTATGTAACCAATTTTCTATCACTGGATATGATTTCTCTTCAGCTTTTCTTCCCACCATTGTAAACAGTGCTGTGTAAATGCCCTCATGAGTACATATTTTTGAGCTGATTTCTTTGTTTCTAAATGAAACGAATCCTAGAAGTGGAGTTGAGTCAGTGTGTACGCACGTTTTATAGAGTTTACATATTCATTGACATGTCATCCTACAAAAAGTTCGCTCACAGTTTGTTCTCCCACATATGGACACTAGATAGAATACCTTTTACAAATATTTGCTAATATGATGAGCAAAAGTACTTTTTCAATGTTATAGTTTGCATTTTATGACCAGTGAGGTACTGAGCATTTTTCACTCATAAGCCATTTGACTTTATAAAATGAATGATCCCTTTTGTTCTTTGCAAACAGTTAAGTGAGGGAGCTTCTTGATGCTTTGTGAGAGCTAATTGTATAATATGAACATTAACTTCTTGTCTTCATCAATACTTGTCACAGAGTTTTTCTTGTCATTTCTTGCCTTTCATTTTGTTCAGTAGGTTTTTTATTTTCATTGTGGCCCAAAATATTCTTAACATAGTAAATATCTTCCTTATAGGTTTTTTTTTATCTTTGGCATTATTATTAGAAATACTTTCTTATAATGGAATAAATTTCTTCTGTAAGTTTTTTAATGTCTAAGATGGAGATGATAATAGTAATTGTTATAGTGAGGGTAAGTTGAGTTAATATGAGCAAAGTGTTGTATTTACTGTTATTACGTTTTAATATTAACATCACTATCTGTAATTTTTCTTGTGGTCATTATGACAGGAATAGAATTTGTTCTTTCCAGGTGATTCTCTGATTTTCCCAGGACAATTATTGAATTCATATTTTTCTCTTTGATTTGAAATCCCTCGTGTACAAAATACTTATGTAAACTAGAGCCTCTTTTTGAGCTCATGGTTCCTTTTTTTTTCTTTTTTCTTTTTTTAAAATGTTTTATTGATTTATAATCATTTTACACTGTTGTGTCAAATTCCAGTGTTCAGCAAAATTTTTCAGTCATTCATGGACATATACACACTCATTGTCACATTTTTTTCTCTGTGAGTTATCATAATACTTTGTGTATATTTCCCTGTGCTATACAGTGTAATCTTGTTTATCTATTCTACAGTTTTGAAATCCCAGTCTATCCCTTCCCACCCTCCACCCCCCTGGTAACCACAAGTCTGTATTCTCTGTCTGTGAGTCTATTTCTGTCCTGTATTTATGCTTTGTTTTTGTTTGTTTGTTTGTTTTTGTTTTTGTTTTTTAGATTACACATATGAGCGATCTCATATGGTATTTTTCTTTCTCTTTCTGTCTTACTTCACTTGGAATGACATTATCTAGGAGCATCCATGTTGCTGCAAATGGCATTATGTTGTC